CCCACCTGTCTACTAGCCTCTAGTAAAACTTCTGCGTTCCTCTTTATTGTATTTATATCGTCCCCCAATAAATTAATATCATCAGCATATGCCAATAGCTGATGTGTCCCGTTCAATTGCAAACCCTCCTGCCTACCTTGGACCTTCCTGATGGCGTATTCTAGCGCAAAGTTAAAGAGCAAGGGAGACAAAGCATCTCCTTGTTTTAGACCGTTCTTGATGAGGAATGTCTCAGATACATATTTACCTACTCAGATATTAAAATTATTATAGTCTTAGTGTCAACACATACTTGTATGTAGATTGTGTAAGTTTGTTTAAAATTAAGAAATCATAGCAGAACTTACACAAAGAGCATGATTTTTTTTATGGGGAAGCTATTGAAGTGAATGGAAAATTTAAAATACTGATAATACTAATTCAGTTCTTATGTTTGTTATATATAATTTTATGTTATCACTCTTTACTCTAAAGGTGTGATTACAACTCAGAGTAAAAATATTTACAGAAAACAGTAAAGTTTAGTAGTTTGTTATGATGAATGGTGATTTAGCTGATACATATCCAAGCAAAAACATTGTTGTTATTGCAGAAATATGACAGTGCAAATATATGATAATCTAACATACTGTTTTATTGTATTCTTGTGGATTGTGATACCAAGTCCACATAGCATCACAGCCCAGAAGAATAACATCAACATCTTTACTGCTGTGAGAATCTGAAATGTCACATAGTATTGTGTCAACGAACACTTGAAATGATCATAAACATATATGGGTACAATTTTCTCATATTAATCTTATGACTGTTGTGGAGATGATCAGAATTCAAGCATTCGCATATCAACTCATTATTTGTTGGTAAGACTAATTCATGGACCTGGATGACTTTTTCAGAGGTAATTGGGCAGATATTCAATAGGACTGATGAACTTGTACAAAATGTTGCAGCCAAATATTTCCCATTCCTTAAAGGAGATCCTGATACCATTATAAAAAATACTGTTGAGGTAAGTCCCTGGGGTTACATGAATCATATTTCTAACCAGGGCTGTGGAGTCGGAGTCAGAGTTGGAAGCAATTTTAGGTGGAGTCAGAGTCGGTAAAGATGTACCGACTCTGACTCTGACCTCGATATAAAATCTTAAGAACAATTTCTATACCCTGTGAGCCGCCGCCGGCCTCATGCTTAGGGAGATTCAATGACGCGCTGAGCCACATGGTGTGGGAATAATGCTTTGTACTTTTAGATCCGGTACCTTGAAAATAAAAACAGAATACTAATCAATTGATTTCTGCAATAACCATTAGTCGTATATTTAAAAATAGGTTATAAGTCTAAAAAGTAGGCTGATGGTTCACATGGTGGTGATGAAATCTGTTATGGTACCAGTTACCATTTTAGTAGGTTTGCCCCTATTAATACATATTGAGCTTTTATGAAGGAGTTGGTGTCGGAGTCTGAGTCGAAGCCGGAGCAGAGTCGGAGTCGGAGATTTTAGTACCGACTCCACAACCCTGTTTTTAACAGTGTTTGTCTACAAACTAGCGGAGACTACATGTGATGTATGGGTAAAACACAGCAAATATTATATTATTAAATTTAATGTCATAACCTTTTCTAGTCAAATTTTGAGGTGGGCTTGACACCTTATTTTGCCCTACTGGAACCATTGTCATCTGTAATATGAACTTTTTGTATTTTATTATATGCAACTCACATTTGTGAATGAAAATCTTTATAATCTGCAACACAAATCATTTTGAAACAAACCAGTCACAAGTCAGAAATTTTTACAAAAGATTTTTCACAAAATGAATCTCTATTTATTATAAAAGCAAACATTTTGGACTGGAAGTGTTTAAAAGGCACATTCTCTGTAAAACATAGCAAATGTAGCATCATAATTGTCTAGTGAATTGTGCCATCAGTAGATCAGATTCCAAAGCTCTGTATCTCACAGGTTTGAATTTCAGTTCATTTGAGTTTCTCAAAAAGGAAAGTCTGCTTGAGGACATGGAGACAAGTAAACAAAACATGGGTAAGAAGAGTACCCCAAACTGAGTTTTTAATGTGTTTGGAATTTGTTGAATACCAGATTAGATGTGATATTGAAGTCATTCAGACTATGTAATCTGAAGTAGTATAATTTCAGGAACTTTGTAATCAGCTGTCATTATGACTACAGATTGGCAGAACAGTGGAATTTAAATGTTCCCCGATATCATTATTTCTCAGGTGACAGGTGATGTTTTGTTCAATCTCCCAGCATTCCATATGGCCAAACTGTGGTCTAAACATGTTGGAAAAACATTCTTCTATAGCTTTGAACAAACAATGAAGCAGAATAAACATGGAGGCAAGGAATTTCTTCCTGGATTACCATTAGTGGAAAATGATGGTATGGAAGGTGGTAAGTTGATTTGTAATTTGTTGTGAATGTCACTTGTTTGATGAAACACTCAAGACTTTATGAATTTCAAATTGAACTTCATGGACTCTAGATTGGAATTTATTGTTAACACTGAGTGCATCTTGTCTCATATAAATATGATTTGTTCATTTAATTTATATTACATTTGTGCTTGCTATAGAGCCTTGTGTATATGCTCTCCGTATAAAATTATTTTTACATGTTGAGGTTTTTAAATATAACATACTTCTCTGCGGGGAAGTGTGTACATGAGTTTCAAGAAAAATCATCCTTACACATTACCTTATGCTGCATGATTCTGTTTCTTTTTGGTTCTGCATATTTATGCAAAGCAGTTATCAGCAAGTTTGCATTAAGAACATTTGCACCAATTTAACTTCAGTACCAACATACTTGCTGTTCCAGAACAGTCTTTACAAATTGACAATATGTTGCACAAATTTTGTAGGTCCCTCTTTCAGCACAAATATGAAATAAACTTCTTGGTGGTAATTTGTCAGATTTGCTGTTTTTGTATTTTCTTCTATTTATTTGTTGTAACTGGGGTGATACTGTCTTAGGAATTGTGGCTGCTAATAGGACCATTGTCCATCCCCCAGATGATACATGAGTGAATATGGAGCAGCAGTGAAATTATACTGACAGGGAAAAATTAAAGGACTTAGAGAAAGACCTGCTCCAGTGCCACTTTGTGCACCATAAATCCCACACAGAGTGGAAGCCCTGACCATTGTGAGAAGCCAGCAACAAACCACTTGAAATATGGCATGGCTCCTTTTTCGAAGTTAAATACAATATTATAAAGAATGAGGAAATAGTTGATGAGACTTCGGGTTACAAGCCGCATCAGGTGACTGAATGGTGAATAAACATATCTTCTGCCTACACTTCAAAAACAATCTCTGCTGTTATCCTCAGGGCTGCTTAGTAACTCAAGTTCCCAGCAGCAAGCACGTAACAAAGGATCGGACGTTGGCAGAAGATGTGGTTTATTTGCCATTCAGCCGCCTGATGCGGCTTGTAACCCAGAAGTCTTTCAATAACTTAAGTCTCTGCGAAAGCTTCACTCTATACATCAAATGAGCAAACAATTAAGAAATACAACTTCTTTTTCATATTCAGATAATGAAAACATGGGAATGGGGAAATAAAAATTAAGGTTTTAGTCCTGATAACAACAATGTGCCTTGTTATATATATATATATTTCTAGGAGTTGGTCATGGAGATGATCTGCCATTCATTTTTGATCCTGAACCCTTAGATGGTAACACTTCATTTAGTGGTTTGTCATTGACAGATCATAATGATCAAAAAGTTCTGGCTATAGTTTCAAACTTTATAGCAGAATTTGCTCGCACTGGGTAAGTAAACCAGCATTTGAAAATTAGACAATGTAAGAAAATAGGTAAGGATTTCTGGACAATAAACACAATTATTTCATTGTTTAAAATCTTTATTTAATATGTGAATTCTTTTAACACACTGTTATTTGTAAATTTGTTTCCTAGCAGGAAATGGTGACAGAGTGAATGTGTGTGTGGAATCAGTGAAAATACATGTTAAGGTTATTCTTGTGTATATATGTCTTTGGAGGTGTACAGACATCAGAAATGCATGTTTTATTGATATATTTCCTTATAGGGTATGTGTATGTATGGGTGGGAGGGAACATGGATCCATAAAATCTCCAAAATTAAATACATCCTGAAGGAACAGTTCAATTACAGTATGATCCTATGATACCACCCCTTGTGGCAGAAGCATATATGAAGACATTCTATAAATACCCAATGAAGATGAACATACTGTGTTCAAAATCTTCTTGACTCTTCTATGTATACAGTGAAACCTCGATGCATCGTTTTCGGCGGGGGTGGGAAATAAAAACGATGAATGCGGGAAAG